GGTTTGGGGAATAAATGGAAAGTCACATTACAGAAGAAATCAGATGCTAATAAAAGAGTATCTGAATTCTCTCCCAACAAAGATCATCCTCTCCTCATAGTATTGGCTTCTTTTCTTATTGCTATGACAATATACATGACAAAGGCAACAGCTAGGTGTCACCCTGTCTGCTTATGGGAAGGGGGGGCTCTAGACACTGGGTGATTATCCCTTATGCTGTCTTCTTGGCTGACCTAATAACCTTCCTTCCACTCAGGAACAGCAATGTCCCCATGGCTTCCTTCCACTCAGGAACAGGTATGTCTTCATGACTTCCCTGTAGGTGAGGAGCCCCCTGATGCCTCCACCATGTTGTTCTGAAGAGAACAAGGATCTCTCATTTTTGGCATCTTTATGAATAAGCACTCAGAATTTATAAACTAAAAAGGGCAAGGCTGAAATAATGGAGTGGACATCAGCAACAACACAGAATTAGATATTCGAGGTGAGTAGGAGAAATAGACCAAATGCTAGAAAACAAATGAAAGCTCTGACAAAATGCTCTAAAAACAAAATAAAGATATCCAAAGGCTACCTTAGAATAAACCCACAGACCATAAACCAATTCAAAGAGGATGCCTTGGCCCCAGAACACTTAGCAACATGCACCCAAGGAGACAGCATAGATGGTTGGGTGCAAAGTGTCTAGCTGGTCCCTGGCTCTAAGTCAAAAGACTTCTGTGGTCAAAGTAGATTGTCCTTGGGGCCCTGTGTTCAAGAGCCGAAATTAACAACACAAAGCACAGCAAGGAAAATTGTCCTTTGAGAAGCCCGAACCCACAATTTGTGTATGACTTAGTGCCTGCAAATCTCTGAGAAGCCGCACCCGTACTCCCTCATGTGTCTCTCTTCTGAGGATCTCTCTTTTTCTTAACCTTGGTGCCCAAGCCTATATTCAAATATCTTTATTAAGCCCCAGCTCTTGTAAAAATTGAAATAACAGCAAGGGGTTGGAGAGACAGCTCAACAGTTCAGAGCATTTGTAGCTCTTACAGAGGACCCAGATTCAATACCCAGCACTCACATGGTGGCTCACAATCAGTTGTAGGAGATCCAATGCCATCTTCTGGCCTCCTTGGGCACTGCATGTGCTTGGTTTACATGCATACATGTAGACAAAACTCATAAAATAAAAATAGTTTTAAAATAAGAAAAGAGACTCTGTAGACTGAGAGATTGCAGGAGTAAAAATTGGATGAGAATTTTATCTTGGAATTCATGACTCCAATATCACAAGGAAGTTTCTGTTGTTTAAACTACCTGTTTGCAGTAGTACCTTATTATATTTTATTATCATACCCCTACCAGACTACTACATTAATGAAATTAATGAAGAACTTGAAAATCCTAAGGCCAAGTGTAGGAGGTGAAGTGCCAGACCTAAGCACAGGCTGCCTTGAGAGCACAGCCCACGCTTCCACAAAAGAGCCAACTTATAATCTGCCCCCGGACCTAGAGACTGATGACGCGAGCAGCCTGGATGAGGGGATCTATCAGGGAGCAACAAAGCAGCTTATGGGACACTGGGGGCAGGGGGAGAGATATATAAGGCCTGCCCTTCCCAGCAATAAATGAGTCTGCAGCACCTCACCTAGAGCCTGATCCCACCTGACTCCTGGTGTCTGCGTGTTGACTCTGTGCCACTCACTCCCACCTCGGTCAGAACCCTCGTTCCCTGCAGTCCCTCGTGGGCTGGACCCATGAGGAAACCTGCAACAGCCAAGCATGGTGGAGAACACATACTATGTGACTAAACTGCCCATTTTTCACCCCAGCTCAGAACTGTTGGGGAAGCAATAGAAATTACAATATTAAGACACACATGAGCATCCCATGAAGCCCTGCCTGGACACTCCCTACTCACAATCCCCCACGTGCCTCGGTGAAGAGCGGCTTTTGTCCTTACTGTTTGTCATCCACTCTCACCTCATGGAAAGATTGAAGGTAACCAGGCAGACAGAACACAGTGTGTGTGTGTGTGTGTGTGTGTGTGTATGTGTGTGTGTAAGGATTTCATACATGAGTACTTTATTGACATCATTTCCACCCTACTCCCTCTCAAGTTTCCAACCTTTTCTTTATCATTTTTAAATACACATGTGATGGGAGCATAGGTCCACTAAATCTACTGAGTTCGTTTAGTGTGGCTCCTATGTACATGTGTTTGGGACAATTTGGGATTTCATAATCTATCAGGGAGCTTCTCCCTGGAGACAGTAGCCACTGATTGCCTGATATCTCTATCTAGATAAATGTGAGACCCTGAGAAATGTCTCCCATCCACACTGGCATGCCAACTAGTGTTGTCCTTATTAGGTCTTGTTTAGGCAACCTTACTGTGGACATTAAATGGGTGGAGCTGTCCTGTCTCCACTTCTAATGCCAGAAGACATTATCTAGCAGCAGGCTTCCTGGTCCTATAATTTGTCCACCTCCAGTCTCCTCATCTGCAAGGTTCCCTGAGCCTTAGGCGTAGGACTTGCTTTATAGATGTACCAGATGGGACTGGGCACCCCATGGTTACTTATTGCCTGCATTTTGACCAGTTGTGGAACTTTCTAATAGTCTCCTCCATGTGTTACAAAAAGAAGCTTCTTTGATGAGTGGTGAGAGTTAAACTGTATCTAAAGATTCAGAGTTAAGATCAGTTAACACACTATAGCCCAGCGTGGTCAGAACCTTGACCACACTGGCCATTTCCATACTCCAAGTGTGTTCAAGTGTACGTCTGAGCACAATGAGCACAATGTACATTTAAATTTATTTCAAACAGAGGCTTTCCTCTGTTTGAAACAGAATTATTGAAGAAATGTTTAAACAAAAAGACTAGAGAACTAGGAAGCTACAAACTATGAACACAACTTTTTTATTTATATTGTTGTTCTTTAATTGTATTTTTATTTTATATGTTTGATTATTTTGCCTCCATGTAAGTGCACTCATGTCACGCGACACCCACACAAGCCAGAAGAGGGCATCGGGTCCCTTAGAACTGGAGCTCTGGACAGTGTTAGCTGCTATGTGGATGTTGGGAACAGTAAGCGGGTACTTTGCAAAAGCATCCAGTTCTCTTAACTGCTGAGACATCTCTCCATCCCCAACAACAACAAAAAAATTAAACAGATACATTGATTTACAATTTGTTAAAATTTTTTTAAAAATTGTGATTTTGTAATTTAGTTTTTCTGTTTCTTAAAAGAAAGTGGAATAATAGTTTTGAAGTGAACAGATATTCATTCTTCTTTAAAAACAAACACGCCAAGGCTGGACTCAGCTCCACAGTAACCATCTTCCTTCAGCCTTCAGAGTGCTGGGATTGCATGTATGAGCCACTGTGGTGGTTTGACTGGAAATCCCCCCACGGACTTAGATATTTGAGCAGCTGCTCCCCAGTTGGTAGTGCTGTTTGGGGAAGGTTAGGAGATGTAGTTTTGCTGGAGGAAGTACGTCACTGAGAGCAGCTTTGGGACTTTGTAACTTCACCTCACATTCAGTTCACTGTCTCTGCTCCTTGTCTGCAGTTGAAGATGTGAGCTCTCAGCCTCTGGCTTCTGCCACTGAGCCTGCCTCTTGCTGCATACCTCCCCATCATGATGGAGAGCCATAAGCCAAATACACTCTTCCATTAAGTTGTTTTTGATCACGGTGTTTTATCAAAACAACAGAAATTAACTAATACCACCATCACGCCAGGTTCTGATAAGCATATTTAATTATCACTTATTTTAGTCACAGTGATAAGGATCTAAAAATTATTACATACTATATTGGAGTACAACTTACATACCAGGAATAATGCAACTTCCTAATAATAATTTCATTTTTACATGTTGCAATATAACATAAAGTAAACTTACTAGTATTATCATTATTAATTTTAATCTGAATATCACAGAATTTTGTTACTTGATAAGGACCAATATATGGCAATATAGAAATAATCCCTTAATGTGAAAAAGAAAACATACACATATACAGATATATATATATATATATATATATATACACATTATATGGCAAAACTGGAGTAGTCTTGATAGCAGTTATCCAAGGCCTAATATTAAGACTTGAAATTAAATCACTTTTCCACTGTTTCATGAGACACCAATACAGCATATATCTCTCAGTACAAACAGAACAAACACTGATCGAGACACTTCAGTGAGTGCTTTATATTTAGTACATTTCTTTGCTTTTTAAAAATGACATTATTCGTTTTGTGTTTGTGTATGTGTCTGTGCCTGTGCATGCCATAGCATGTGTGTGGAGGTCAGAGGAAAACACGCAGGACTCAGCTCTCTCCTACCACGTGGGTCTAGGAGATCAAACTAGGCTCCTCAGATTTGGCACCAAGGGCTTTTATCATTTAAGTCATCTTGTGGACCCTGAATTAATTTTATTACACTGACCAAAGGTTATAGGTGCAGTATTTACACCAAAAATGTAAGGAAATAAGCACAGTCATTTAAGTACGTTTCCAATGTTACTTTTGCTGATGTGTGGAGAGGCAGGATTTGAACTTAGAGACTTAGTCTGTGCTACTTGTGATATCGTCTCCTTAATTCCTTGATGAAGGATCATGGTTAACGTGATGTACTAGTCAAGGTTCATTCAATAACCAAAGACCCCTACATAAAATTTTAAAAAGTAATAGAAAGATTGTTGAAAAACAGTCCTTAATCTTTTGTCACTAGGAGAAAGAAAGGGCTACAGAGATGTGGCATAGTTGAGACAAGAAACACAGTGGCACATAACCTTCTCAGCGTGCAGAAAGCTCTGGGTTTCATCTATAAGACAAAGAAGGAAGAGGAGGAGAGGGAGGGGTGGGGGGGACAAGGAAGGAGGGGGGAAGGGATGAAGGAGGGGAAAAGGAAGAAGAAGAGGAGGAGGAGCAGGAGGAAGAGGAGGAAGGAGGAGGAGGGGAAGGAGGAAGAGGAGGAGGGGGAGGAGGAGGAGGAAGAGGAGGAGGCGGAGGGGGAGGAGGAGGAGGGGGAGGAGGTAGAGAAGAGGGAGGAGGTGAAAGAGGAGGAAGAAGATGTGGAGGAGAAAAAAGAAGTTTAGCAGTGGTATTACTTCACTTAACCAGGAATCAGTCATTTCCTTCAGTGTATGGGAAATGATAAATTACTATTCTCTCATAAACAAAGAAGGGATTGGGAATGATACAGTTCAAGGGAACGCATATATCCTAATTCCTATTCACAAGTGAAAGATGTGCAAATGGAAAACTAGAGACAGCAAAGAAAAAGTAAAGTGGCACCCACAAGCTCAGGTATATGAGACACACCAGGGACAGAGGCATGTCACATAAACGGGTGAGGATTTAAGAGTTTGGCCAACAAACTGTCATTGGCTGCACACATCCCCTAAGATTAAAATATGGAAAAACTCTCTTTGGAAAGGAACATGCAGAGAATCTGTAGATGAGAACCCCATTGTTGGAAACATCATAAAATGAGAGCGTGCCAGCTTTATAGTCTAGGAAAACTCCAATACGACTGGGACGATTGGTCAGAAAGAGGTTGAAGAGTCTGGAATCATAGGTGAATGGAGTCTCATCAAAAGCATTGTATGAGGACTCATTATTCAGTCCTATAATCCAGTAGCCACATTTGGGCTGATAATTTGTATACTGTTTAACATTAGAACTAAATTGGTGTAGGTTGGACCTTTCCCCCATTGAAACAAATACAGGTTTGATGCATCTCCCATCATTTAACCCTAGGAACCAGGCATATTTTCTAGATACATCTACCTCCCAGTAATGTTTCCCTGAAAGGATAGCTGGGTTGCCCAGGATGCCATCTTGACAGTCCTGATCCCAGAATGAAAAGTTTTTTCTCTTATGATATGTTAGTTGTCTGTGGTCTTCAGAAACTTCGATGTTTGGATTGTTGCTTTGAGTCAGGGTCACCTGAACTGAAGGAAGATTACACAGTTAAGTGTCATATGAAAGACAGGATACAGTCTTATTTGTGATGTTATGAGCAGAATCCTTAGAAAATTGTGAGATGTGCTAGGAACTCTGCTCAGAGGTCAAAGGAGAGGCGGAGCACTACAGAAACATACTGTAACAGGTGCCTTAAAACACAAGCCCTAGTAGAAAAAAAACAGTCAGAGAGACATTGAGAAGAGAGTAACCCACGATACAGTGATTTCTCCTTACCCCAGTAGCGCTGGACGTCTGTTAGTGCTGAAATGATGAAAATTCACAATATTAAATGCAAGTAAAAGAATCAGCACTTTAAAATCCAGTTCTCATTCAACTAGGGGAAAGATCAGGAACTGCGATAGGGAAGTAAACTCATGCATCATATAGTCATTTTCCATTAAGTATGGTCACACCACTGGCATATAATTATGTGCTCTCCATATTCCTCTGCACACCTAGAAACTACACTATTTCTAGTTTAGCCCCTGCAGCCCCTCCCCTAGAATCCCACAGCCAAACCATTTAACTAGCCCTCCTCACCTTGGAACGTCTGTAGCACCTTTGTCAGATCAGGAGCTTGGAATGCTCTTCTTTGTCCTCTGGGGATATGTTTTGGCTTCTTTAGTGTCAAAGTTTCATACCTAGGAATGAAAAAAATTAACCTTCATACCTCAGCCCTTATGACCTTTGACCACTACTGGCTTCCTGTCGTTTTGATGCATAGACACACTTGACCTCTCAGGAGGCTGACGAGGGAGACAGAAGGTAGACTACTAACCCTGGAGATATGAGAAATACACTCATGTCCTCCTTCCTGCTCTCTCTGTGATGAAGGGAAGACTTAACTTCTCAGAAGCACAGTTTCTCCCCTCTTAAAGTCCTACAATAGCCTCTGCCACTCTACCTCCTAGAACTAGTAAGAAATGATGAAACAATGAATTTTAAAACAACACAAAACTAGGGTACATGAAAGCAAAAAAAAATGTAATGTGTGGAAAAGTTATTTCCATGAATGTGGGCTCCCAAAAAAGTGTTCACAACTCTGGGTGCAGAATCTGCTCCTGGGTGCTCAAGGCGTCTCAAATGTGGGAACCCATTGAAAAAATCCAAGATCTCCAAGGCTTTGCCAATAGGGAGATTCTCAGCTAGCATCTGAGATTTCAGATTTCAAGCTTTCTTTGGAAAAGAAAAAAACATTTGGAAAAGAAAGAGAACTACCCAGTACTGCCGGGTCAACATATGTCATGAAAAAACCTGAAGTGGCCAGGTAGGAATGAAATTTTAGATACAAGGATGCCCTCTTTACAACCTCTTCTGAAGTATGTCACCAATATAGAGCAGTTGTTTGTACCTCAGCCAAAATATTGTGCCCAGAGATTCAAGTCTGTTTTCGAAAATCTAAGTACAACCACAAAGAAAGTGCTGATCTCTTCTATACTCAGGAGAAAAATGGATAGGAATCTTCACAATGGACAGTTCTATATACTTAGCACACATAGAAAATGTGTCCCACCCACAACAAACAAAGCAGCTGCTAAATCCAGAACCACAGTTAACTGTAGGCACACAGGGCAAATATAATGCTGGAACTGCAAGGGGTTTGACAGCACCTGGACCTGCTTAATGCTAATCTCACTACTGAGCCACATTATAATTCCCTACAACTGATTGCTACCATATAAACTAATCTATTCTTAATAGTTATCAAACACTGAAAGTCTGATTTTGAATAGATATTCAAGATCATCCTACATCTAAAATCCTCCATCTGAGAGTATTTATTCCATTAGAACACTAAATAATTCTCACTATACACAAGGACTGTGGTGATTTGAATGAAAATGTCCCCCATAGGCTCCAAGTATTGGGACATTTTGTCCCCAGTTGGTGGTGCTGTTTTGGGAGGTCTTAGAAGGTGTGGCTATCCTGGAGGAAGCACATCACTCGGGGTGGGCTTAGAGAGTTCTTAAGCCTTGCTGGATCTCCAGTCGCTCTCTTGCTTCCTGTGCCTGATTGAAGATGTAGAGCCTAGCTTCTGCTCCTCCTTCAGCTACCTCTGCCACCATGCCTCCCCTCCCTGCCATGATGGCCTCTTGCCCCTTTGGAACCATAAGCTCAAATAAACTCTTCCTTCTATAAATTGCTTTGGTCAGTGTGTTTCATCACAGCAACAGAAAAGTAACTAATACAAAGGCCATTCTTGAATGGCATCCCACACATACCTTTCTAGGAGGCAATTCACATCCTAGGGAGAAAGATAAAAACAGGAGTTAACACTTTCAAAGCTCTATCACAGTCTCAGGGGCCCCAGAGAATGCTGACAATAGAGGTGGCTCCAGCAGCAAAGCAAAAGAAGAAAGAGAAGCCAGTCACTGATGACGCTGTGAGAGGGGGTTTAAATATAATGCATGGCCCTTTGACAGATGTATAAACTGATGGACTTTTATTTGCCACATATTATGAGGCTTTGGAGAACAAAAGATGATAAATACTACTTCCCCCAAATCTCCCATGGCTTTTGCTAAGGGTACTATGAAATAAGTATCTTTTCTCATTCTACATGTTAGCTAAAACTGACCTCATCCATTCCCCTAAGTTCAATCCACATGTATACGAAACTGATTTTCAAATTTATTTGGAAATGAGGTAGTGTAAGGCCAAGGGAACTCTAGCATCATCGTCACCAGGAACTGCACAATGGCACAGAAGAGAAGGAAATGGTTTCCAGGTCTTGTGAATCCCAGGTGCTGGAACTTCCTTCAGACTCACCTGCAGCATCTCGATGGCTGATGCCTCCATCTGATGCTCCAGGTCTGAGATGAGATTTCTCACCAACTCCCTCTGTCGGACCAGGTTAGTTTCAGACTCTGCCAGGCTACTCAGAATGCGTTCCTCTTCTTGCTCCAGCTTTCTCTGCTCTTTCTTCTCCTCAGAGTCCAGGATGTCTCTCAGTCGTTTAAACTGTTCCTGAACATTTTGCACATCACTCTGTATTTGTTTCTTCAAGGATAAGAGAAGATACAGGTATTCAGTCTTAGAGATGGGGCTGGGAGTCTTAGGGAGTTCCCACAGGCAATGGAGATAGAAGGGGAATCAATTCTCAGGAAAGCATGTGCTTCCTGTTAGTTTGTTCATGACATTCCAAAACAAAGACCTGAAGTCAGCTTTCCCAAGGCCACCTGAGCCAAAACAGGATCCTTGAGTGTGCCTCAGTTTCACACAGCTGTCCATGGCACTAGTTCCTTTCTGTGCCATTTGTCAGTTCACTCCTGAATCCCCTGCCAGAAACTGAACCCGAGGACAGAATCATGACCCACTCCCAAGCATCTTCCCCCAGTACAGTCATAGTTTCAAAAAGCACCACAGGACTGAGACCCGGGACTCACAAGATTTCTCACCAGAGTCCCTCCCTGTGACCAGTTCCTCAAACTGCTGGGCTGGTTTGTGAGACTGAGAAGTCTCTAGCCCCCAAGAGAACAGATGGACAGGACTAGTCCAAGGCTCTTGACCTTATCAACTATCAGGGAATAAAGAAGGTGGGAGCTTCTTCCCCAGGTCCTGCCCAGAGATCTGTCTGACTCCCTTAGGAAGTGTCTGCCTTGCCTGCCACAAGGTTCTATGGTCTTGGAGGTCATATTCCCAGTTCTCAAATTCTTCCTCATCTGTCTTCAGCTTTTTCAGAGCTTTCTGGAGCTTCTCCTATGAGAAAGGAATTGCACCTTAGTCAAGCTGTGAGCTCTGCCAGGACTGTTATTTCTACAGCAAAGACAAAAATATTCTTCTGGAAAGACAGGAAGCCTAAGATTTTTACCATTAAAAATGTACATGATTTATGTATATAAACTGCATAAATCTTAAGTATATAGTTCGGTCAGTTCTTAACACATATGAACACCATATAGATCAAGACATAAAAGTTCCTTTAGATGACAGTCCCAACAAATTCAACTCTACTATGTTGAGTCCAGCATGAGAGAACAGACAATTTTGTTAGTTTTTCTGATCTTCTATAGAAACTAAGGAATACTTCAGGCCCAGTCCTTTGAGTCTGAATGCTATTGTTCAATATCATGCATGACATGGGGCAACACCACCATCTGTGACACCTGTACATTCTATTGCACTGCTATGCGATATTTACTAACTCCACTGTTAATGGTCACTTAAGTGGTTTTTAGTTTTTAAATATTATGAGTAAAATCGATAAAAACATTAAAAGGATTGGGCTCCAAAAAACAAGATTGGTCTCAGAAGACAAAAGCATTTGCAGAAACTGAGAATAGCAGCTAAAATCTATGAGTTGCTTTGCCTTAGGATGGTAAAACGATTGACTTAATCACATAAAGTGCCGATTTCCCATCAAGTACTATTTTCTACTCTGTTTTCCCTCAGCCTCTCTTGTCTTACCTTGTACTCCTGGACCACCTCTTCAATGAGAAAGGTTTGGTGACCACGGTGCTCCTGAGATCGCTCACAAAGCCAACAGATGACCTTCTTGTCCCTCTCACAGAACAGCTGGAGTTTCTCTCCATGGCGGGCACAGTGGTGTACCTCCTGCTCCTTCTCTGGACTCAAGTCGGCCCCCTTGAGTCTCTCCACTATGTTGGCCACATGCCGATTAGGCCGCAGATTCCCAAACTGGTAACTGACTCGGCACACAGGGCAGCTGCCCTCCCCCTCTTGGTCTTTGGTGGACTCATAGTTCAATGTGATACAAGCATGGCAGAAGGTGTGGCCACAGTCTGCGCTCACAGGTTCCTTCAGGAGCTCCAGGCAGATGGGGCAGGTCACCTCCTCCTGGATGTTCTTCAGGACTGCTGAAGCCATAGAGGCAGTGTGCTGCTCCTGCCTGTCCTGACTACAGTGTTGTCCTGCTCAGATGCCTGCACTATTGGGAAGGTGAAAAGGGCAAAGTAAGAGAAGCAGGGAGAATAAACAGTGATGATGCAGAAATCAAGGATGGGCCAAGAGCAGAGCAGTGAAAGGCAAAGAAGAAAAGGGAGAGAAACACGGAAAGGTTAGTGACACGGCAAAGAGCTTTTCACAACAATCTCAAGTACCTCCCTCTCCGTTCATACCATAGGGCTAATTTGAGATACATAATTGTTATTTCTCCTTTTAATGAACAAAAGGCAAAATGAAAAGTTTTATACAAGATTCTTATGTAATCTACAATCTATCTTTGACCTTCCTTCCCCAGGCAAGAAAAATATCTTCAGTGTTAAAAGCATAAGGCAATTCCCAGGTGCCACAGTAGTTCACTTCCACATCAGTGACTCCACAGACACTGTGAGCACACATGTCCTGGAGCACAGCACTGCTGAGGCTGTCGGTAGGCCAATCCAGGCATCACCCTAAGAAAGACTTCTACTGGGGAAAAGGACAATATCAAATCCCCCCAATCCCTGCCGTGGAAGATGCTCACCAGCTGTACTGCTACTGCTGCTGCCACACAACGCTGTAGTTCCGGCCACTGAGACACCTTCAGGCTTTGCCAACACTGATCCCAGCTCACAAAGCTGTGTGAAGGTTACACCACTGTGCCTACTAGACCACAACCACTGCACCTGACCAAGTGCCACCCTTCCATCCAATGTGAAAGTCTTTCCTCATAGATGGGATAACTCCAAAGATAGACATTAACATAGGGACACAAACACCACAGAAAAGCAAGAAACATGATCCTATCGAGGGACTACCAAAATTCTCTAGTACCTGACTCCGAAGAAATACAATCTACAAAATGTCTGAAAAGGAATTAAAATTAACAATGAAAAAAAAGGAAAACTCATACAAACCATAAAAACATCATACCAAAGACACAGGGCACAGGAGTGAACAAGGACTACGGATTTATGAGACAGCTTTCAGAAAACCATTGTGTATATTACGGGTGTTTTGGAAAGTGATGAGACAGAGAAAGATTATCAATGAAGAACTCTGAACTTGAACTATGCTGCCTTACACAGCACAACCCCTCCAACTGTAGCAGAATCCTCATCTTTTCAAACACACAGGGAACATTTTTCTGGAAAGGTCACCTATTAGGTCACAAAAAAGGTTCTAATAAATTTAAGAATACCAGCCAGGCATGGTGGTATTTAATCCTTTAATCCCAGCGTTCTGGAGACAGAGACAGGTAGATCTTTGTAAGTTCCAGGGCAGCCTGATATATAGCAAGGTCCAGGCCAGTTGGGGCTACATAATAAGACCCTGTCGAAGAGGAAGAAGAAGAAGAAGAAGAAGAAGAAGAAGGAGGAGGAGGAGGAGGAGGAGGAGGA